CGCTCACACCTGCAGGGCTATGCACATCTTATGGAGGCATACTTGGAGGGTATCAAACCAGGAAGCTGACACCCTCGCTAAGGAGGCGGCCACATCATCATTGGACAACCCCTTAACCCCTCTGTTTGATAGACTCTGAATTGGAAGTGTTTTGTGTACCTACTTGATTACTTTTTATTTTCTCTTTGTACAGGGCTCCTGTTTATGGAGTGGCCTTTATTTTTGTTGTACAGCGCACCCCTTGTTGGGATGCACTTTTTTGTATACAGAGCTCCGACCTGTGGGAAGCCTATTTTTTGATATCTTGGACCCCTCTTTACTTCTTTATATAAAGTTAACATGTTAAAAAAACAAATGTTTATATTTTTTGCTTAGTTTATGTAAATTTGAATGGTTAAGTAATGGACGTTCTGTTTAGACTTTAAAAATTCGCCATCCCTTCATTTTTCAGAGACTTTAGAATTCACCATCCCTTCATTTTTTAAAGTTTTGTTAATTATTTTAACTTTCTAAATAAAGAAAATTCCAAGTCTTCCTCAGAACTGACAAAATAACCAAAACACTTGTACTGAACTGGTATAATTCTCTCAACCGGTATACAAGATTCACCCATTCAAGAAATATGAAGCATCAACCACGAGATGCTCATGTTTGCACCTCACCCTTGGCATCACAACCATCCCTCATATCTCATCCCGCATCAGCCTTACTAATAATTGTGCGTTGTGTTTGCCTTTTACCTTAGTGATAATGTAAACCACTGTTGACAACTTCTCTGGCAATGGCGTGGTGGTGTCTGCGCCCACTCTACCTGTGTACTAATAGAACTGCACAAAAGTTGATTTTTTATCTACAATCAAGAAAGCAACCAAGCCAAACTCTTTCAAAGAGTTACACAAAGAGCCCTGTTGGAGAGATTTATGACTGATATGACACCAGAAATTTCTTAATGTCATGTATTGAGACACGCCAATGAGCTTGCTGATTCTCTTAACAAAGGGTTATATTTAGTGGGGTCAAGACTATTAAGAGCTCCATTTCTGTCATGTAGAAACTTTGCCAATCACTAACCTAGTATATTAATGTGCTTGTAATTAGTTTGCATTAGCAAAGACTTATCATGTAGGAAAGTCTTGAATGGTCCATTCAAGAAGAATTCTCTACAGGCCTTGCAAAATTATGGTATATGGAATTTGTAAATACAAGCAAGTACAGGATTCTGTAGATGGGTTTATTGTCTCAAGAACCATAAGGAATTGGTTCCTATTTGTAAGTACAAGCAAGTACAGGATGCTGGAGATGGGTTTATTCTCTCAAGTTTCTTGTTGATGTCTCATGTGAACGATATAAGCTCACCGTGGCACCAAAGGCTTTCATCAATGTCATATTACTGATAATTGATGGTAACTTTTATCCAGGATAAATACATAATTCTATGCACTCTTGCTCCTATGCATTTGCAACTGGCCTCACTCACAAAACATAGAAATACATGCCATCTACATGGGGAGTCGACATGTATTCTCTCAAGGTTTTTTATTCTTCAGTGGCTGAAGTGTGTCACTGCTATTAAACTTTGCACATCTTGGAACATGAAATGTGTGCATGGTTGGAAATTTTAGTCCTTTTACACCTCATTTTGGTTATGAATTACTCATTTGCATCAGTTTCCTGACATATTTTTCCTTTCTCTCAAGGTTTTTAATCTTCTGTGGCTGAAATGTGTCACTGCTATTAAACTTTACACATCTTGGAACATGAAATGTGTGCATGGATGGAAATTTTAGTGCTTTTACACCTCATTTTGGTTATGAATTACTCATTTGCACGAGTTTCCTGACATATTTTCGCTCTCTTTTATAATCATTACATTATACCAAGTACCAACAGGAAATGACCTCAAATAATTTATTTCCTAATATGGTTCTTCAACTAGAGTTCGATACATAGTTACTGGAATCTCTCCACCGACCTCGTGTTTCCATTTACGAAACCCGATTTTGTGTTTCCATTAAGGAATTTCCACGGAAACCGTTTTTCGAACCCAAGGAAACTCGATTCCTTAGTTTCAGAATCTCGATTCGACACATCTTTAGAAACCTTTTTTCGGAACCAAGGAAACTCGACTCCTTAATTTCGGAATCTTGATTCAACACATCTTTAGAAACCATTTATCGGAACCAAGGAAACTCGATTCCTTAATTTCGGAATCTCGATCCAACACATTTTTGAAAACTTGAACCCATCAATTGCAGGTAGATGTTCCCATATATCGAATATGGATTCTAGCGAGGATTAAATCCTGATTCCATGCCAATGGGATTAGAAATCTTCCTTCGAATGCTTCTAGTGGTTGCAGGGTTTCATTATTTTACTTGTGGCACCCTGGTTAGCCTTTACTTTAAATATAAAATATAGTTAGTAAATACAACACATACAATTAAAAGTACTACCATGGTGTAGACATAATCCTATTTTGTCTTTATAATAATGAAGTCAAAATCACAATTTAGGAATACTTGTCTTTTGTATATAATGACTATAAGTTCAATAGTCAACACAATCACTTTAAAATTCGAGAAACCTTCTAATAAGAGACATCCAATATAGGTTCTAAAGTTGATGAGGCTCAAGATGTTCTTGTGGCTTCCTTCTCCATAAAAATGAAATCTTGATTCTTGGTAGGGGTCGTCAAATGCATTCCATAGTCCATATTGTTGTAAATCTCGATCTCAAATTGGCATGGATCTCTAATTTATATGCTTTAAAAACTTGATTCCAAATATGTTTGAATCACAATTCGAAATAACGACGTATCTATGTTCCACATATGTCAGAAACTCGATTCCATAGATGTCGGAAACTCGATTCTGCCTATTAAAGAATCTTGACTCCTGGAGTGTCGATTCCAGGGGATGAGAATCCCGATTCCAAGGAGGACGAAATCCCGATTCCATAGGTGGATGAAACTTGGATCTATTTCGGTCAAAACATGATTCTCAAAAACTAGGAATCTCGTTCCTAGCGATTCTTATTGTACAGACAACGATTCCCAAGACAAGAATCTTCTAGCCGGCCACGATTCCGGTTCCTAAGACGATTTGGGTTCCCAAGCATTTCCGACAACTATGGTTCGACATGAGAGATTACTCGAACCAACACTTCCTCCTCATTTATAGTCCATCTTGTCTCTGCTAAAGTTGTTGGAGCCCTGGAAATCCCATGCCTTTTTTGGTTGGACCAACTTGATTTCCGCTTTGGTATTTGTTGTCAAGCAACATGGTGGATTGCAGGCCAGACCCCCTTGACGTTCTTGTTACTCAGTCACAAGCATAATGAGTACAACCCCTCATTTTCGAACCAAATATCAAAATACTAATGGTATTCAGGGGATCTAACATTAAATTTGATGACAATTATATTTGTCAAGATATACAATGATTAAATGAAATTCATATAGAAGAAGGCATAAACTGAATTCACTAGTTTATTTAATAATGGCATATCATCTGCTGGTTGGACTGGTATCTCTCTGCCCTCTTGGCCAAACACCTTGTTGCTTTAATTGTTGAGAGTTGGCTGGTTTTCCATCATAGTGGATTTCCACTGTTAAGTCCTATATTTCCATGGGGTCTAATCTTATACTCTGAAGCGAAAGTGAAGCTGAGTATCAACCCATAGTAAGACTGGCAACTGAACTTGCTCGCACACGTTCTAAAACTGAACATACTGAGGCAACAGTTGTTTGGCAAGTAAGCTTAGTTATCTAACATATTGCGAGGTTTGTGCATCAAGATATAGCATTTCTGGGTATAAAAGTGCAGTACGCAGAAGAACATGTATTTTTCCTTGCAGTGCATCAAGGCTCTGGGCACAAGTGCTTAGAGTACCGTGTGCCACAACGTGATGCCCAGAGTTCCATTCTCACCAGGTCCTACCTTGACATTAATAAAAGAATAAAAACGTATCTTTCATAACTGAATGAGGCAGATTTCGATTAGATTCCCATTTCATTACAGAAAATGTCTTTTACCTTTGTGCCTATAGTTCTAATATGAAATAAACAGTCACAGCCAAGAACCTGTATATGCCCTCATCAGGTAATTGGCAGGCATCGTCACAGAGTGACAGCACAAATTTATTTGATCTGTGCCTCTATTTCAGCATATGACCGTGAACTCGTCGGGAATCATTAAGATGTGTTAGAATATGTATTATGAAAGATATTTCATGTGTCAGGGAACAGAGTTTCACAGCTGCATCCCCCAACACATCAAGTATCCATATTAAAGATGGATGTGAAAAAATGGTGATCCAATCAAAAACTAAAATGGATGATGTTAAAAAATAGGGATTGTATATAATGAGACCATTTACCTTTGATACAAGGTGGTCACAATTAATTACAACCATCTGATATGAAATTTGATAGCTTGGATGTGTCACAAAGTTTGAGAAAATTTCTTTTGACATTTGAGCTTAGTCAATGGAATAATTGCAGCCACCCAATTTCACATCCAATGGTCAAGATTAATGTGACCACCTTGTACCAAAGGTAAATTGTCTCATTTTATACTTTCCCTAAAAAATATATAAAAAAAATTTACTTTTTAATTTTTTGAAACTTATTTTCTTTTTTCAGATTCATGTTCACCATAATTGAGATTCTCAACCCCGAAATTTTGGATCCAAGATCCATCTTTGGAGGGAGGACTAAATAGATGAGTCCGCAGACTCCCGAAAACCTTACCCTATATTTTATTATAAATACTATTCTGTTTTACTGACATGCATAATTATATCTTATGTTGCAATTCAACTTCTAGTAATGCAGTCATATGACTATGTCCTTGCTTTCCAACAAGAAAAGCTGTTTTCAAGATAAATTGTATATGGTAATTGACCCAAGCATGTGTTCAATAATTTTTGTCATTGACAACTTAGAAATTTTATGTGTAAGTTTCATATATTTAGTACTCTTCTTGTTCACATGCCTGCAGGACGTCAACAAAGGTTTCTGGATTCATCTTCAGGACCAAGTGTAGATGGAAGTTTTAGAATGTCTAGCGCAGGTTTGCATCTAAGATGTTATCTTTTTCACTTTTTGATACTGTGTTTAGTTCTGTTGCTATAGATTTCATAATCCATTGCAGTGGAAGTGTCAATAAGGACTGATGCTGGAATTAACCATTATTGAGTTTCCTAATACTTTTGTATTTTAGATCCATTTATATAAAAAATGATTCAGACTGGTAGGTCATTTGGAATTTATCTCTGTTCTAGAACACATGGCTTGTCTATTAGTAGACATGGAAGAGATTTTGAGAAGGAATAGTTTGTGATTAGATGCTTGTATCAAGTACATCGATTGTTTAAGACAAAGTTCACTGGCGCTACCATAGACTATTGAGAAGAATGATGGCATTTTTCTACTTAAGCATAGTAAAAGTATATGCTACCTTCATCTTACTCGTCTATAAACTGGCAAAGAATTCAAAATGTTACTGTTGAAATTTGGGCAAAACTAAGTGAAGCTTCAAGGGATGAAAAGTGCATTTTGAACTGAACATGGGTGTGTATCGAGGGATGGAAGAAGAATCCATATGTACATGTGGAATGTTGTAAATTTAGTTCTACCTTAGGTTCAAGAGAATCCTATGCCCTCTTTTCTTCTGTCTTTTTTTGTTTGAAAGTTTGCTGTTATGTTTTTCTGTTTTTCGCTTTATTTTGTCTCTGACTGCTAAGAGGAAGAGGAGTGGTAGGCTCTTTATTATTACCAACCCTAACCCCCCCTCCCAAAAAAAAAAGCAAAACAATCATCTATTTCCTTTTGCATAGGTAGGGCTGTTTATTTAGACCAATTTTTAATTATACCACTGATTTCTGATTTGTAAATGCGTTGCTTATATCAGTATTATTTCTTATAATATGAATACAAATCAATCAATCCTTTCGAAAAGAGAGTCAGAAAGAGACCAATTGTGACAATGCTATTATGTTGAACAGATGCAGGAAGAGTACTGAAGTTGTGAGGGCAAGAAAAAGCGAGAAAAGTGTGCCTAGAGATAAGAGGATAGTCTGATGTGAGGATCAGCCCTTGATTACAGGGACTGAAAGATAGGATTTGGGACACTATCACCCAAATGGTTTGCGTGTTGATACAATCCAAATGTGCAAGAGACTTGTTTCTGAAAATGGAAAATTTCCCAAGTATAAACACTAGGAGTGAGTTTTAGATACATTAAATAGCCTTTCAACTAACAACTTGAGATGAAGTTTTAATTTGGGTAGAAATAAAAAGGAAAAGCATACAAAGAGACCATTTATTTTTTAATACAAGGAGGTCACAATTGCTCTCATCTGTCAGATTTCAAATCGGGTGGCTGTATCGTTGACTAAACTCAAACTTCAAAAAAGAAATTCTTGAACTTTGTAACACACCCAAGTCAACCAATTTGGCATCCAATGGTTAGTAGTAATTGTGATCTCCTTGCAGCAAAGATAGATGGTCTCATAATATACAATCCCAAATAAAGAAACATAGAATAATACTGGAACTCAGGCTTGGGGAATAATACTGGAGCTCAGGCTTGGGGAATAATACTGGAGCTCAGGCTTGGGGAATAATACTGGAGCTCAGGCTTGGGTTTAGTGGTTAGGGTGTTAACAATTGCAAGCCTGCATCTCTTGTTCAGACCTACTCCTGAACCACCCAAAAAAAGAGAGAAAAAGTTAACGTGTTTCTTTTACGCTTGTTGCACTCTTGCGAAACCCATCAAATGACTTGGTTCTTGATGTATGCGGTGCATGTTTATGAATCAGATGCCTGGATAAAATGATTCAAGAATATGCTTTGAACATTCCTTTTGCTTGCACTTGCATTCCATTAAGTTCAGTATCTTATCTTTATTTGTATTTGGTATGTCTTGACTAGCACTTACATGTTTGTGCAATATAATGCCTCCTTATAAACATGGATTTCCTCTCTTTAAATGAAACTTGTAACTTTAAACATGTGTAGAACTGCTTAAAATGACTGTCTACAATATGGGGCTTAATATTTCAGGTGTCTCACCTGATAGGAGGTCAGGAAGATCAATTGCAAGCAAGTTTATGCCTACATCCAGGAGAGCGTTCAAGGGACTTAAAGATTGTGCCAAGAAACTCATTGATTGTGAATCCCTTTCATACTATCTTGAAGACTGGATTCTTGAGAGGATGAATTCGACTTCTTCAGATGGGAAATGGTCCTTCAAGTCACCTTTTCTAATTGATGAGTTGAGAAAGCTTGATTATGCATTAGAAGGGGTTGTGTTTCAACAACTTCTCCGGATGCCTTGCATGGACCATGTCTCAGGCATTGCAAAAGAAGAGGAGTATCTTGCATTGGAGGACTTTTTACTTGCGAGTGCAGATGGTCTTTGGCGAACCTTTTGGCATAAAAATGGACCTTTGCCATTTTTCATATGCTGTCCTCTCAGAGCTGGCTCCAAATTCTATACTGTGGAAAAGGCAATGTCAAGGGGGAAGATAGGAGGGCTTTGTGGAGCTGCATTAATGGCTAAAAATGGCAAAGACATGCAAGGCCAATGGGACCAAGTGGTAGAGTTTGCGCTGTTCAAATCTGAAATAGGGAGCGAAAACGAGCTGGGGCTGTCTGCCTCTACCATCAGTGAAGCACTCTTCTATGGATTTCACATAATTCTCTCAAGGAGTCTAAGCAAGTCCGATACATGTGGTGATTCCGTTTACTTATTAGTTCTTGACCCCAAATTTGGTGGGGTGGTTAAATTTGGTGGTGATTTAAGCAAATTAGATCTTAGCTCAGGTAACCCCTATGTGTCTGTTGCCAACTGGATGAAGAACCATGCAGAAGTCTATGTTTCCCCAATAGACCGGATTTGGAACAAGCTTGGAAATGCAAATTGGGGAGACTTAGGAACACTTCAGCTACTTTTGGCGACATTCTACTCTATCATTCAATGGAAGGGGCCTCCGAGAAAGTCGATTGCTGCATTGGCTGCTGACCATAGCCTTCGACTCCAAAAACGAAGGATTGAATGTCGTCTAACCGAGAATGGGGTCACCCCGATCCATACCCAACTGGAGCATCAAAATCAAGGGGAGATCGTGGAACTAGAAGACGATACGGACTCTTGTTATAGAAAGCAATTTGATCGACTTGTGCTTGAGCCCAATGAGGTCTTGGTTCTTGAAGACTCTCAAGGGCAGAAAGGGTTCCAAATAAAGGACACTTTAGGCAACCAGACATGCTCCTTATATAGTGCGGTCTCATTGGACCAACCAAGTGAGCTTCTTACTGTTCATGTGGGGGCCCACCCATCAAGGCTTGAGCCCTCATGGGAGGACATGAGCACGTGGTATCAGGTCCAACGCCAAACCAAGGTCCTCAACATTTTGAAGCAACGGGGCCTTTCATGCATCTATATACCTGAGATTATAGCATCAGGTCGAGTCCTACATCCAGGCCCTTGCTCAAAGAAGAGCCCAGGGGGCCGGTGTGATCACCCTTGGTGTGGAACCCCAGTACTCGTGACCTTACCAGTTGGGGAACCTCTCTCCTCTATCATAGCACAAGAGGGCCCTCTTTCTTCTGAAGAGGCCTTGCGATGTTGTCGGGACTGCCTATCTGCTCTTAAGAGTGCAGCCTCAGTTAATGTTCAACATGGTGATATCTCCCCTGAGAATGTGGTTAAGGTTAGCAGTGGGGCCCACTATGGTGGTGTTAGGTACCACCGCTATGTGCTTGTATCATGGGGCCATGCAGTTTTGGAGGATAGGGATAGTCCAGGCATGAACTTGCAATTTTCATCGACACATGCGTTGCAGCAAGGGAAGCTTTGCCCTGCTTCTGATGCTGAGAGTGTGGTTTATCTTTTGTATTTTTTGTGCGGTGGGAGCTTGCAAGATATGGAGTCTATAGAGGCAGCATTGCAATGGAGAGAGAGGTGTTGGGCAAGAAGGGTGATACAACAACAATTAGGGGAGGTTTCGGCTTTGCTTAAGGCCTTCTCAGACTATGTGGATAGTCTTTGTGGGACACCTTACCCTGTGGACTATGATATTTGGTTGAGGAGGTTGAATAGGGTTGTGGGGGATTCGGAGTCTTTGGATAGAGGAAAGTTGGTGGAAAGAAATTCAATTGTTCTGGTGAGAGGAGAGGATGTTGCGGAGTCTTCAGGGACTTCTCCTTTGCAATGAAATGTTAGGGTGGTGTCAATACAAAAAAATAGAGAAATTTTGAGGTGGTTCCAAAAAAAAAAAAAGAATTCTTTTTGCCATGAAATGGTGAAGTGGTTGTTGAAAAGATTGGATTGTAGATGGGGGGTCATGGAGATGTGGTGGTTGTAACTATAGGAGCCTGATGGGGTATTGTAAAAGTATGTTGGGTTTTTTGCATCTGATTTTGTTTACGCTTTTCACTTTACTTGATTTTTGCTTTGTGGTGTTCTTTATTTTTGCCATTTTTTGTGGCATTGGGTTTCAATTTGGTATATAATTCAGGTTGCTGGCGTCCTTTTGGGAAAAAGTGCCAAGAGCCAGATATGGAAATGTAGATTGAAATTGTTGAACCCGTGAAATTATTAGTGGGAGTTCATAGATATGCATGTGGTGTGGACTGGCTTGTTCTTGGTATTCTTATTTTGCAGTGTAACTTGATGCATTCTTTTCTAAGTGTATTTCTACTGTTCTAGAGCAAGGTAACCATTGTATTTGATAATTCTCATTCTTGAACTGGTTTTCAGGGTTTGGAATAGGCCTGGTTTGTTTTTTTCTTCATACTCCAATACTTGTGCAATTGGAATATGTGGTTGAGTGGCATCACCGTCCAAGCAGTTGGCGGGGCCATGACCCGCCATTGGTATAATGCTTTCTATAGTGGCCATCACCGTTCAACTTATCGAATCGATGATCCTGATCACTGTCCCTGTGGTCACGAGGACTAGGCAATGGTTTGGCAGACACCACCTGTACGCTGGAAGGGTGTTTGCGTCACGTTTTAGATCGAAGTAAAAAACATGAATGGCTGTGATTTAATATTTTTTATTTAATTTTATTTTGTTTTCTTTCAATTGGATTGACATGAAGTCATGAAAGCATCTTTGTCGCATGTAGGTGCACCTAGAAGAATATTTTTTTTTGAAAATAAGAATATTAAATTTTTTTTGTAAAAGATTAATTGACCATCACACCTACAAACGTTTAGGGGTACTTTAGTTAATTTATTTTTATAGATTATTTTTTACAGTTTTTTTTTTAAGTGCACTTGATGATTGAAGGCTGTGAACATTTAAAATATCAAATTAAGTTAAAGTGTCTAAAAATAAAAAAAAGAAACCATGTAGCCAATCCGCATCGACGGCAAGTAGAAACGAGAAGAGATAGAGGATTGGCGCTTAGGTGCATCGTGGTATGTGGGTGTTCATCGAACAAGGTCTCAACCACGTCAATTTTTCGTGTTATGTTGTTGCGTTGCCAAACGCTGTGGGAGCCGGAACTACGTAATGCTTGTAAGATTGTCTCGGTCAGTGTTCGAATGAACGATTCACTCGGCCTGAGTTGGGCTAAGTACTATAGCAGCAAAAAGGTGATAAAAAATTAAAAGATAATTTTTTAAAAAAATAGGAAATATATATTTAAATTAGGTTAAAAAAAAGGTAGAAAAATAAAATTTGACAAATCGTTTTGTGACTGAGTATATTTTTGAAATAATCCAAAAAAAGAAGGGAAAATAGTATTCATGGCAAAAGTACTTTCCATTCTTTCCTAACATTATATAGCACATAAATGAACATATTACAAATAGATTTCTTACTTTTTTTTAAAATTTAATTTTTTGTGAACCTTTTTAAGATCCATGAGTTGGACCCCTTGATCAGGACAACTCGGCGGATTCTAAGCTGACTAGGCCGATTTTTCAAACACGGGTCTAAGTCATGTGATTGCTTATAAGGTCCTGCAAGGTTTAAAGAGTTTTAGAGAGAGAGAGAGAGGGGAACTTTTAGAATAAAAATAATTGTACCCCACACAGTTTATGGTGGTTCTTGCATTGTATATATAATGATGATAAAATGATATAATATACAATTTCCTATCTTGTTTAAGACAATATACACTTTTCTATCTTGTGTCATTCTCCTATAAAAAAAAAAAAGCAATGCATTTCCTATCTTGTCACTTTCCTATCTTGTTTGAATTTTGTTTCTATTACACCCCCTCAAACTCTGCTGAGGAGACATTTGAAGCCAAAGTTTAAAGCAAAGATATCGAAAAATATCTTGTAGAAAAGATTTGGTGAAGATATCAGCTACTTGATTGCGAGAGGAAACAAATCGAGTGATAAGTAATACCAGAACCGCCTTTTCAAGCACAAGATGATAGTCTAACTCAATTTTCTTTATTCGGGAATGAAAAACATGATTAACTGTCATGTAGAGAGCACGAATATTGTCACAAAAAAGTATTGGTGGCTGAGAAAGAGACACCCCAATATTCCGAAGAATAAAAAAAATCCATGTTAATTATGCAGCAATTGATGCTATAGATTGGTATTCCGCTTCAACATTTGAAGGAGCCACAATCGATTGTTTCTTAGCACTCCAAGTTATGCAGTTGGAACCAAGATAGATGGAAAAACCAGTGGTTGAATGTCGAGTGTTTTGACACCCCGCCTAGTCTGCTTCAGTGAAAGCATATAACTTAAGGGAGATATTATATAAGATTCTGATAGCGCACAATTGGATACCAATGAGATAATGAAGAATCCGCTTCATTGCTCGAAAATATGCAATTGAGTTGACGCACCAGTATCTGGGAACCATTCCGAATCTGGGGAATTTATTGTAGTCACTGCAGCAAGAGCTTGAAAAATGTCTTTTTCTTGATACATGTGATTGAATCGGTGCCAACACTTTAATGCAGTATATCTAAATTTTCCATAAATTTGACACTTTTTCTAGGTGTCTGAGCTGATTGTTGTATATGTGACTCTTGTTGGGACCTTTGATTCATATGTTGCATAGGTGTACCGCAACTTTCTTGTTTTCTTTGAGGCACAACTATATCCCCCATTATTGTTATTGCATGTTTGAACAAATTCATGCTCCCGAGAATTGAAAAACTGAGCACCAAAGTTGTGTATGCCTTTACCTCTATAATTTTTAGTACCTCTATTAGGTCCCAAAATTTTATGCTGTGGGCCATATTTTGATTTGGATATGAGTATTCTTCAGAGACATCTGACTAATTTCTAATTTCATAGCTTTAAAGAAGCGATATAATTTCAAAATATGAAGGAATCATAGGTTTAAGTATAGTGGTAGCAAAACTATCATATTTTGGACCAATTCCATTAAAAAGACAAATACTTTATTTTCGTCTGGTACAAGCAGCTAAATCATCACAAATACTCTTGAATTTGAATATATATTCTGATAGGGTTGAATTCCTTTTCTTGCAGAGTTGGAATTGTTGGTTAAGTTGGAACTCCTTATCTTGAGAATTACCTGCATAGGTGTTCTTCAGGCATCTTCGTATTTCTGCATAAGTCTTAAGGCCAACCACAAGATTGCATGCTTTAAGAAGCCGGTCAGACTTTAGCCATAATGTAGTCTTAGTTTTTAGAAGAAATCTTTTGATTTGGTATAGGGCAACCACCATTAATAAATCTATAAAGTTTAACTTTCAATCAGTGATAATATTTGAGTTTCTCATATGATGTTCTGTATTATTTTATTGACACAAAATTTCCCATGTTAATGGTGGAGGGATAGGGATATATGGATATTGAAAATAGAGTAGCCATTGGATCGCTACGATCAAATACCGATCACTAGCCTTAATGGCTTGGGTAGTTTTGATGATGGCATATAGGAAAGATGATGGACTTGATAAAATAATAATGGAATTAGAGGATGGGCCTGGTTTGGCTTTTAATTGCATAATGAAATGTAGAAGATTATTTCAACGGTTTTGTGCTTATTGGGTTTTCATATGAGTGACTGACGAGCATGCTCGGATCTCATTGAGATGGTTCCAAGGGAAAAATAGTGATCGTGCAAACTATTTCATCATGCAAACGAGAGAGATCAAACCATTGATCATGCAAACTATTGATCGTGCAAACAAGAGACTTACTTGGAGATGCGATCGGTGAAAAGGATTAGATCGAATGAGATTCCTGCTCTGATACCATAAAAAGTTTTAGAGAGAGAGAGGAACTTTTTGAATAAACATAATTGTGCCCCACACAGTTTATAGCCGTTCTTGCATTGTATACATAATGATGATACAATGGTATAATATATATTTTCCTATCTTGTTTAAGACAATGTACACTTTCGTATCTTGTGTCGTTCTTTTCTCAAAAGGACACTTTCCTATCTTGTTTGAATGAGCAATACAATTTCTTATCTTCGTTTGAATTTTGTTTCTATTAAGGTTCACCTCAAAGCAACTGTAGGAGGTCTAGTTGGGTCTCTGGGTTTTTCCTGGCAGGATGTTTCCATTAAGAATTTCTCTCCCCTAGGTTTTCTTGTGATTTGATTTCCTTTTCTTCATCCATTTTAGGTGTTGCTTACTAAATAAGGTGAAGGTGATCCTCGCAGCGTTTCGCGGAGGTCTCCTTGGGTTCGTGATTCTGGGAGGGGTAATGTGACTAATAAGTCATTACTGGGATGCATGTGCAGGCTCTGGTCTTCAACTCTTAACTATTGCTTCATTGAGAAGATTATGTAGTTGTGTTGTGGGCTTGTGGTTTTGATCACCATAGGAGTGGGTGTGGGTGTGGTTGCTCAGCTTCTGGATCGGGATCGTTGTTCGGGAGAGGGTTCCTAAAGATGCCCATTCCTTGGTTGGGATTGTTAAACGGTTCATTATTCTCTTTGAGACTCGTGTTCCCTTTGTTTATGAGGTCTTAATCGGGTCTTCAACTCGTACCATTTCAATGCATTTTGAAATGGTACCACGACGCATCCTTAATCTCATGTGCAGGATTCTCAACCACAAGTCTGATTAGCCAGTTTATTGCCTCATGGCAGTTTTTTCGTTTTTTTAAAATGATAGTACTTGACTTATTAATCTCAAATGGTGATTACAGGAAAATAAAAAAAAAAGAATATGCTACTTGCAAATGATTCAAAGTTATCCACTTTTAGCCAAAGTATCTGCCACATCATTCGCCTTTTTATATATATGTGTAAAGGATACCTCCAAGTTGCTACAAATGTCCATCATTTGCACCCAAATCGGCCTCAGCCTCCACAGGGGTTTGAACTCCTTACATCAATTGATTATATTTAGAAAATCCCCCTCAATTGAACAGAAACCTCCAGTCCTCTTTACATTAAGCCTAAGGGCTCGAAGAAGAGCATACACTTCCGCATGATTAGCTGTAACAGAACCATGTGGACTACCAAAACCAAAAATCATTTGATCATGACCATTTCGAAGTATTCCACCTATGCCTGTAAATCCCAGGTTTCCATAGGAGCTCCCATCAAAGTTTAGTTTACACTTCCTATTAATGGAGGCTGCAATCTTCTTTTAGGTCTCACTTCAAGATATCTTTGTTTTATCAAATTAGCCAAATTTAGAGCAACATCAACCTTAGACACCCCCGTCCCTTCCTTTGTGACTGAGAACCGGCTTCGTAGATTATTTA